GCCAAATCTGATACAGGTGCGGAAGAGAGTGCCAACAAATGGTCCAATCGTCTTCCAGCAGGTTTGTAGAAGCTCCACAGAGATCCCGTCCGCTCCAGGCGCTGTGTTGGCACAGCCTATGGTGCACATGCGTATCTCATCGTCTGAGACATGGTCGTTCCAGGGGATTCGGTTAGTGCTCGGCGCATCGAGTGGCGGTAGATCGTCCGTCGCTTGGTGCCGTGCCAAAAGAGCGTCTCGGAGTATCACTGCCCGCTCGGCCGAATCGGCGTACATCTTCCCTTCGTGGTTCAGCGGAGGGGTGACACTTGCCTGCCTTAGCTCGGCCGAGAGCATTAGGTTGAACACGGCAGTCGGTATTGTGATCGCTTCGACTTGACACGTCTGGCGCTCTTTCTTTGCTGCTCTGAGGGTTGAGCGCAGCTTCTTCGAATGCACCCATCGTTGCTCTGGAGTCACTGCTGCACGATATTCTGTGCGAGCCAGCTTGCATTCTGGAGTCGACTAAGGCGCACATTTGCCGTGTCTTGTGTTCCTTCGTGTTCCTGCTGCTTTTATAGCATTAGTAAGGCCGGAGCAGAGATCGTTGGCCTATTCTTCCGCCTTGTGAACCGTGTCTAGGACTATTGGCGCATGTGTCCATTGAGTTACGGCAAGGGCGAACTTCGGCAAGTTTCCACGAGTTACCCTGACCTGCGAAGACTCCTGGTCCCTTTTTCTGGATCCGATGGGGACTTATCCTCGAATCGGTAGATGGTCGCTGGTTACGCACTCGTTGCGATCCACCCATGCTTGGGCCCCGTTGATGTTGGTCCAAGCAAGATCCAGTGTATTCCCGGTACGATGCGTTGGCTCGCCCACAATCAGACAAGTGAGATTATGACGTTCCGCCCATATCTTTATTTCAATTCCTTGTCCACGTGGGTAGGTAGCCCCTGGTTGCCAGGCGCAGTTCACCGCGTTGAAGTCGCCTGCTGCGACAGATCTTGTTGGTGGGACCCAGCTGAGGAGTGGTCGAATCGCTGTCGGGTCGTTCTGCTCTTTGTACACGTTGAGAAACGTGACTCCGTTTACTACAACCCAGCAGTAGTCTCCTGTCAGGGGATCGCAGGGAAAGATTTGAGTTGCCGAGTAGATTCTCCTATCTATTAGTGTATAAGCCACTGCCCTGGGTCGAACGTTTACGCCGCCATGTGATATGTGGCAGTCGTAACCCGGGTGTGACTTTGTCTCCTTTGTGGCTTTTTTCCACGAAGGCTCTTGTATTAACATTACATCTACGCCTAGTTCGTAAGCTCGGGAGAGCACGATGTTGTGTGTCGGGCCTCCTATACCTACATTGATCGACATAAAACTTATTGTAGGTGGGGGCTGGAAGAGACCCGTGAGGGGCCCTTCAGGAAGATTCCGCAGGATTCGTTGTTCCTGTGGCCGTGGCGTCGGAGGCGACGTCGGTCATCAGAACTTCATGTTGTAATCTAACGCTTTTCATCCTCGGACCTCATGGTGAGCAGTAGTTGTATAGCACGTGATGCCATGCGGGGGAGAAGGAAGAGGATGGCGAAAGCCGCTAGCCAGATCTAAGCAATCTGGCCCACTTGTAGATGGAGAAATCCCTTTTGTATATAGACAATACAGCCCTAACTAGTACAACAACAATAGTAAGGAACTCATACATCCGCATCTCAGTTATCTCTTACATCGTGACCCATAAACCTCAATCTCATATCTATCACTCCACGACAAAGCTTCAACACTTCGAACCTGTTCTTTGATTTCTCCGCTCCGGGTGTGACTTGTGTCTGCCTGGCGGCCGCTTGAGATGCTACCTCAGCGCGACGGACTGCAGCCTTAGCCCTTATAATTGCCGCTAGCTCGCGTTGGCTGGCCATGCGAATGGTAGCCAGTTGCTCTTTGCTTACCGGCCCCAACTTGGTGGGGCGCACCAGGCAAGTTCGACTGTCCGACCTGTGTGGTCCTCCGCAGTTGCCGCACTTGGTGTGCGTATGACACTCGTCCGTCGAGTGCATCGTGGAGGTGCTGTTCCAGCAAGCTGGGGCGCGAGAGCAACCACGCGTTTTGTGGAACTGTAGGCGGCGTTTGCATTGCTGCACTGTCTAACGCGGCTGATGTCAGACCGCGACACCCGAGTCGTCAAATAGGCGGAACCCTTGTCTAGGCTCTGCTCCCTTCTTGAAATTGGCAAGCCATGATTGATATGGCGCGTCAGGGCAGGTTTTTCCGTGAGGCCGAACTTTGACTAGAACGGCCTTTGTAACCCTGGTGATCTCCTCGATCACCATCTTTCGTCACTGGCATCCTTCCAAGAAGAATGTGAATGGCGACGGGGACTGTCGAGATCCGTAGCGCCACAAGGTTGGAGGCCTCCTCCAGTCTTGCTTCGATGGGAGGGAAAGCTTCCGCCGCGTTCAATAGGAGCTGGCGAGATTCCTGGTCCTTCGCTCGAAGTACGAACCTGTTGGGACACGGTAAACGTGTTCAATGGCTGTATGTGGCGCGTTAGTGAGCTGCGATACAGCTTCTCTTATGCCAGCTGGCGAAATCTTTCGCCACTGGTGTTTTGAACCCAGCCGGAAGGATAGTCGGTTGTCAGGCGGGGACGAAGGGGCCGTCTTGGCCAATTTCTTGGTTGGAGGGGTCGGCATTTTTGGGGCACGACTAACCATCACTGACGTCGGCTGATTAGGTAGCTCTTTTCAGGCTACAGTTGCCCAGGTTGGAGTTACCTGGGGCACCGCTACTGCAGGCCTTGATGGCCTGGCGGTTGATGATTGGGGAGACCCGCTGCTGCTGGCATGTTGGCCGGTGGGGCGTGGGGGGAGGCTTGTCGGCACTGGTGTAGTTCCAGTGCGCAGGAAGTGGGCGAGAGCGCCCCTTAGATATGCGTTCATCGGGTCTAGATATTCATTATTTTCTGTCGTTTTTAATGACAGGATGATGCCTTCAAGTTTGTTAAGGACCGTTGATCCTATTTCTAGCCTAGCGGAGGCGTGTGAAGTCCGCTTCCTTTCGGCTTCCAACAAAGCTTCGATTTCCGGCAGGTGGCTTCTTGCCTCAGCGGTAGGGGCACTTCCGTTCCCCTCGGTGGGCTTTCGATCGGTTTCTTTTTTTCTATTGGAACCGCAATATTTCGAGCCGCAACGCGTGCGGGTTCTGGCGTCGCTTTCGCCGAGACTACTTTCTCGACGACAATTGTTGGTGCAGTGGACGCCTTATGAGAGCTCTCCGCTCCTGCACCTGCCTAACACGAATCCTTGAGACCTTTGGTAATGGCCATTTCCCAGACCTTCTCCATCTCTTTAATATCTGGCTCAGATTCACCATCCATCTCCATTTCCATTTCCATTTCCATTTCGTCGAAAATGTCTATTTCCATCTTTTCAAAGTCCAGCGAAATGTATATCGTGTCCCTTGGATCTATTTTGGAGCGGACCAAGTGCTTCGCTTTCTTGATCAAATCTCTGTGGTTCAAAGCGCGTTCTTCGGCGCGTTTTGTCCGTTCGTTCTGCTTCCGGTTGGGAGCCGCGGGCGGCATTGCGACAATTTTGTCGTGCGGCCCTAGAGAGATTGCCTTAGTCTGTGGTTACGATATTTTGGGGTACGGGGTATTGGGAATTGGGGCAGTTTGCAATTTCTCGAAATGTGCGTTTTGTTTGTTCATTAACGTGCTAGGTAAAGTGATTCCCGTTGCAGTCCTACTAGAGATTAAGCACGGGTAGGGCCGGGCTGGTTCAGGTTAACTACCGTAAAGTACATCTATATCGTCCCACCTGAATGACCGGACTACCTCAGACTTCACCCATGTGTTGAATCATGTCAAGCCCAACCGTCCAGAGAACCCTATTTTGACGCGCTGAAGCGCAAATTTCTCCTCAGCCTCGGCCACCACGCGCCTGAGCCCTTGATACCTTCGCGATCTGTAACTTTTCTCTTTCATTTAGTCCCAGATTTGGCTCATCTCATCCAGGGGTCGTTTTCTTCATTGGAGGCCTCATCCAGTTGCCCACCAAGACCTCCTCAGTTTGTATTCCCTTTTGTTCCATCATGCAGCATCGCTCTGTCCTTTAGCTAGGCTCGTCATCCTAGAAACTTTGTAGATTGTCCATCCCTTCGGCCTTAACCCGTCGCTGCCATACCCCTAGCCGTGGAGGTCGAAAACGCGACTGAGAGCTCAAGACCGAGGCACCGGAGCCCCAGACTTTGTCAAACGCTCTAGTTGGTGTGATGCCGAGATGTCGTACGTATTTCTTCGGTAGCGATTCGTCGCAGGTCGAGTTTTTGGTGCCCTTGGTCGAGGTGGGGACGCATTTAAGGTCGGTATTTCGACCAGACCTTCACAGCGACTGGCAGTTGTGGAGGGTCGGGAATCCTCTTGCTTCTTTGTTGGCGATTTGACTTTTGGAAGTATGGGATTGCTTCGGTAGGTGGTGAGATAATTGTGGAGAGGGCCGCGAGATGAGTTTGGCTGGGAGTGATTTTCAAGAGAAAAAGAAAATAAGATCTTGAAGGTATCGGTTGTTGTAATACGAACATCAGACAGGTTAAAGCCTGTCTGCGGTTCGTATCTGGGGTGTAGATTGTTGATTTCTTTGAGTTGTGCAGTCGTTAAATCTCTACAAGTCGGATTTTCGACCAAAAATAAGTCAACACCACTCCTCCCGGTCGCCAACTCGACGAAAGCTCTTAAATTCGCCCTTTGTCTTGATTGGATCTCGCCACCAGGGAAATATTTCACTCCCAGGTTCGTAGAGGACACCACTGGCAGGTGTTCAGTCTTCGTCCTCCTGTATTAAGCTTGCGCCCGTCACGATGGAAAATCTGCATATACGCGACGCGCTTGTGGTTCAAGTGACGGGATAATCGTGATAGCCTTATATCACAACAAAGCCTAACCTCTCGCCAGCCACAATTGGTGATATTAAACACCGCACACAAAGCGTGAGCCTGCCATACAGTGTGACTCACATAGTGTCGAAGACATGATCCGTCAAGAATTCAGTCGTCCCATCGCTAAGCGACGCCCCAAGATCAATCACCGAAATAAGCAGTTCGAGACACAAACTTATCAACATTTAGATTATAAGCACCGCCTAAACTTCTACATTCATCCTCCAACTGCTGATATCACGTTGGAGCAATTTGAACAATGGGCTATCGATCGACTTCGCGGTACGATAGCTATGATCTAAGAGGGTTTACATTTACGATAATGACTAACCACGAGATATGAGCAGTACTTGCAGAGCTCGAAGCATGTTCCTTTCGCAACAAAACCTTCATCGAGACGGCCGCATACATGAAACCTCTCTTGGAGAAATATCTTCCCCTAGCTTCCAATTCTTCCAATTCCAGCTCATTATCAACCGAGCGACAGAAAGACCACTACAGTCACTTTGTCCTACGCCTAGCTTTTGCTAGTACAGAGGATCTACGTCGACGTTTTTCACGCGTCGAAACCATGCTTTTTCGCCTCCGCATTCAGTCTGACGACGCAAAAGAGCGACAGGCCTTCATCGAGGGCCTAAATTTTGACTGGGAAATTGTGGGTGACGAGGAAAAATTAACACTGGCAGATTACCTGCGCGCTGCTGGGGGTGGCTTCCCAAAAAGAATCGAGGATGAAAGCTACTACAAGGTCGATTGGGAACGCGTGCCAGAACTAGTCGACACACGCCGTGTATTTCTAAGAGCAGGTAAGGCCTACGTGCCTGGAAGAGAACAGTTGAGCATGGTTGTGACTGAGTTCACTTCACATTTGGAAAAGGCATTACTGGTATGTGATGTCTCGATCCTCCTTATTATGACTACTACCCGCCAGTCGTCTAATTTACTTCTACCTTTTAGATGACATCACGAGCACTTCCCAGACTCGATGAAGATGACCGTCTCACCCCAATTCTCAACCATCTGGCACAGAACTTCACAACTCCAGATGCCTATTACAGTAATAGCGAAGCAACTCTAACAGGCGACGAAATTTCTGCTCGTAACATTGATACTCTCTCCGCCTCCTTCCCTCTATGCATGCAAAACTTGCACCGCTCTCTTCGTCGGGATGCCCATCTCAAGTACTACAGTCGTCTTCAGTATACTCTCTTCCTCAAAGGTGCTGGTCTGAGTCTTGAAGAAAGCTTATCATTCTGGCGAGCCAGCTTTCGCAAAATTACTGATGATGTTTTTAATAAGGAATATCGCTACAACGTACGTTATGCATACGGGGACGTTGGTGGCGATGGTAATCGACGAGGTCGTGGCTCGGCACCTTTCTCATGTCAAAGAATCCTGACCGAACATCCACCTGGGCCGGGTGAATCACACGGCTGCCCATATAGACATTTCTCGACGGAAAACTTGATGACACTCCTACGAGGTACTGGATTAGAAGACTCCTCCGTCCTTCGACGTGTACAAGAAGATAAGGACAAAACTAAATTTCATTTAGCGTGTAACCAGTAGGCCTAGTTCATTCTTCATTTCTGTTCAACAAAGACTAACTTATTTCAGCGTCTTTAACCACTTACATCAAGCCGAAATTGATAAAGTTCGTAGCAACGGCACCTGGGGTGCAGCGCAGCTCGAAACCATTATCCATCCTAATGAGTATTTCAAGCGAAGTCGTCTACTTAAAACCCTCGCTAGTAACTCTTCAACCGATGATGGCAACAAAGAGAAGCCTGATACGACTAAGGGCAATCCCTAACAAAAGTTTTGGCATAACAATCTTTAAGTTACAGAAATTTAGAATGGGACCAAGTATAAAATTGAAATATGAACTCTCAAGCTTATTACTTACTGGCGAAAGTAATTTCTAAAGCAATGGAAATAAGCACCTAACTAGCAATAAGTCAAGGATGCTTCCGCACATTTTCCCGGATCGTTAATCGCGATCTCAGCTCCTATTTCAATTCACCGGTAAAAAAACATCGAAAACAAACTTGAACTAATTTTTCCAAGCAGGTGGGAAACAATTATTGTAGAATACATATTTATAACGTTTATGAAGGCCTAAGATACGGAAATTTTCTTCTCAAAGCCATAGCTTGTATATGATCTTTATTATACCAATAACTTCTAGCCACTAGGAACGATATCTGTCAAAACCAAATACTTAAGAATGCGCGTATAACAGCTAGTCGACTATAACTTAAAAATAAATAACAGCGACGCTCTAGCTTTTGTAATTGAACAACTTTGTAGCTCATTCAAACATCTCCACAATCTTGGGGATCGACATCAAGGTCCTAGGACTGCACTTGAAAATCAGCTTCTACAATCCCTAACCTAGGCCCAGGAGTTTATCATATATGATGGCTAATATTACATATCGTTGTCTCTTTGTTTGACCTGCAATTTGACTAGATATGAGTATGAACCGTCGAAGTACTCGGTCGCTTTCATCTTTCTAGGATAACCTTACCTACCTACTCCAGCGAAACCATGGGTCCCCTTGGGATTCTTATTTACGAAAAATTATCGTCAGAGTCCTGTAATCATGATAACTTTTAATGCTGAAAGGAGATTTTACCTAAAAGGATAATAGAAATGTAGATATGCATGATTTTTATCAATTACTTATATTATGTCGTTTAAGGGCCAAAACGCTTACAGCTGGTGATCTCTTGATTTTATAATCGTAGAATTTTCGTTAAAACCTTCGATTTATTGAACCACCTTTATGATAGGCCGTTCCGATACTTAAAAGTCTCAAGACTATAAAAAGAAAAAGTTGTTTGCCTCTCTGCTGGTTTTCTTTAACTGATCGAATTATGTCCTCAAGCCCGATTATCGGTAATTAAGGTAAACCATTTTGCAGCTCATCACATCTTGAAGGGTATGGGTAGAAATTATTCGAACTCTCAAAAGTTCTAAAACCAAGTTTCTGCCGTTTTTGACGTGCTATTACCTAGCTGCTTTCTCAAGTAGAGTCTGCATACATTAGGTTCCTGTTGGAATTTCGCACCAGTTGCTTACTCTAGTGCTACACAATTGTCAGTGATAATCGGCAAGGCTGCTTAGGAATAACTTGGCGCACAATAACACTAGACTGAAATTGGTTTTAGCGTCAGACAAAGAACACGAGTAATATGTAGAAACCTAGATGTACATTCTTTAACATTCTGATGTATAATACCAAAGTAAAGAGTCTGGATGGCAAAAACTGAGTTTTCAAGGCTCACCATTCTTCCTACACCGTAACCTCACAAGGGCCCAAAGCAGTTTGGCAATGCAAATACGAAGTGAGCACATGGGGCTTAACTCGTATTTACACAGAAGAAACGTACCCGGAGTATTAAGTCCAGGTTGTCCATGCGGCTACCAATCACAGAACCCAAAGCACATGATTATGTCCTGCCCCCAATGGTCAAATGGTAGAGCTGAGATATGGAGACAAGCCAAAGATCGATCCTATGAAGCGATGTTAAATAATCCTGGAGATATAAAAAGGATAACACAGTGGATCCTAAACCATGGTTGGATAGAGCAATTCCAGATGACAAAAGAGGTCGAAATACTGCTGAGGGAAAGGAAAAGATCAAATAATGCTGGGGGAGGATAGAGATGATCTGGTTAGTTTACATGGATGGCACTATAGTGTAACTGCGCTTCCTGAAGAAAATATGTGAGGACTATAGACAACAAATAGAAAGGTGTGGGAGGTTTTCACCATAAAGGTTTCCTCCCGGGTAAATATTATAGACTGTAGACACCTGCATGGGCCCATAGGGCGCCAAATCAGGATAATGAAATCAAATTCAAAATTCTGATGTATAATATAGTATATTAAGAACGATTTAGGTGAATAATTTATTTGATTGAACTACTACGAAGTACTTTGAAGCTGTGCCTATATTCTTTGAGTGAGTATCCTCTTAGAACCCATACACACTTTCCAACATTTCCTATACCATGACACGAAACAAAAGATATGTAGGCTCTATACTGTTAAACCCCACTCCAATTTACACTGTTGTGTATAGCATGAAATAATACTCGAACAACCGAAGACTTTCAGCTTTTATCACGAAATATCCCTATAGAAAATCCGACAACGCTGCTTTAGAAAACATCTACTGGCACATGACTATTTAAAATATTTTAATACCATCGAGGTGCAGAAGCATAATATGGGACGAGAGTTTTTGTTACGGCTAGACTAATCTGCTCAGACTAAAAGACTTCCCGGCACACTCAAAAGTACCCCACAATGTTGATAAGGCCCGCCCACTGCTACGCGCCCCACAAGTAAAATATGACCTGGCTTGGTCAGCGCTCCCTGTAGCACCACCATCGGGGCCTACTCTTTAGACACTCCGACGAAAGATGCCGAGTGAGGAGGCGCCTTCGTTATTCAATTTCTCACAGCATTGGTCTGATCTAAGGAGAAGTTAAAAAATTCAGGGGAAAGTCTATAAATTTTCGGCTCAAAGGAACGTCCTCAGTGCCAAGATATCGAGAGGTCAATAGTTCAGAGTTTAGGATGTAAAGATGCGGATGAATCCAATATTATCGAAAGGGTTCCTAAGAATACAAGACCAAAAATTACCAATCTCATGTCACCCAGAATACTCATTATATACTCCTCTCTATTATTCTCAAACTATTCAGTATACCCACATACGGAATAGAATGGTTTAGACAAGGACAGATGAGAACAGAACGAAATAGAATAGAGTAGGATATATTAGAACAGAACAGGTCAGCATAGAATAGAGCAGAATAGTGCGGAAATTTTTGGAGATAGTTCCTATTGATTCAGAATAGGCCCATGGTTAGTGACATTCAGCACTAAGCCGAGTCGGTTCAGGGTGTCAGGAGATTTGGTTTTAATACTTGAAAGCTTTTTCCCTTCTTAACATGGCTTACCGTCCTCATGGTTCTGTATATAGATACCGCATAGGATGTTATACTAGAGAAATGAATGAAATAAACAAAACTGAAAATGAGATTCTCTTAGTCAACTTAATTTTCTATTTCGGAAATGTAACACCCATTTCATTCCGCGACATTTCTAGTACTTGTGAAATTGTTCTAAGCTTTGTGTGAAACAAGTCAGTTGGAAGCCAGTTATCGGGTGGGAAGTGGTAGACGCAAGATGAAGATAAGCCGAGCCTCAACAATTCTAGTTAAGAATACGTGTAGTTAGCAGGGAAGTTATCATGGCCATGGACGCTAAAAAGTATGTGTATCTACAAATGCTTATATAGAGAACAAATGATCTAAATTCTTAAATTATGTGTCTCCAGGACCTGATATTAGATACTAGATATGGTATGATGTTATGTTGATAATACCAAGATTACAATGCACAATAGTAATAATCCCTGGGTTTAAAGGAATCTTCCTGGCGATTTCATGATAAGTAGAAGAATAACAGAGCACTGTATTGAAATTTTTTATAGATTATACAACCAAATGGATGATTCTAAATGTTCCATGATACTACTTTGGGAACTTAAGGCGGGAGTCTAGCTACCTCACTTGTGTATATCAGAAGCTCCCTCCACCTCTCAGATCCTTCTAGTTGTGAATATCAACATATCAGCAGCTCACATTGATTTATTGATAATCATCCCTAAGTGTCGAATGACAAAATCACTTAATGACCTTTCATGTATTATCTTATAAATGATGACTAGTTAGGTTGATGAGTAATGAGTTACCTATTTAGAAATGGCGACAGGAGAGAGGGACAACTGCTGTATATACGGGTTTCCTTTAGTTAGAAGACAAGGAAAAGAAGATATATGTTAACCACCAATTGTTATTACTGCTACAGAAAGCTTGTGATATAAATACCACCCGAGTATTCCGACATTAACCCTTAAGCCAAAAAATATTTGGAAGATCTTACCTTTACAATACATGAAGAGCATTGCTAACCTGAACCCGTTAGTACTTATTCACAAGATACCATCTTTATCAGTGGAGAAACTTGCAATATAAGGTTCAAAACAACATAACTAAGCTTTAGTCGGCGCTCAGGATTAAATAGAGGCATTTCTCATGATCCAAAAAAGGCTTCATAACAGAGACCGGGATCGAAGCTATTCCAAAACAGAAGCCTGGAGACTCGGACAAGCCCCACAGTACAAAGGCTTCAGTTAAGGGCGAAAGAGCAGAGGATGCTGACAAAGATGACCGAGCAAGTAGCTGAGGTACCCAAGAAAATTAACACAGGTCCGTGTCGTCCTGGACCAAAAAACGCAAGGATGAGATTTCTGAGACTAGAACTGAAGGTGAACCCAACTCGTGATTGCCTAGGACTGAGGCTACGGTGGCAAAATTGTCCACCACCAGTACACTGATCAGATAGCACGAGATATAGTTAATCTTGAGTCCGAGTGAAACTCACCACTTATGAATCTTTTCTATGCGGCTGTGTTAATTTTCTCCAGATTCGTTTGATAAATTTAATAGGATGAGAGGTTGCAGTGACAAGCCCCTTCCATCCTTTCCATTTATATTCATCTTGAGGTGGTTCTTGCAATATTTTCTTCCAGTCCTCATCTTTTTTAAGTTTCTGGTTTTTAGCTTCCTCTTTTATCTGCTTTCGAAGTTCATTTGCTTCTTCTTGTTCTAGCTTATGATTTTTCCGAGCCGCTTCGGAATCTTTTATACTCATCGACTTCAAGCTCTCTTCAAATTCTCGCTCGGCTTCATCATCTAGCTTCTTTGTCCTAGCCTCGGCTGCTAGCTCTTCATCATGTTGTTTTTTTGCAGCTATGGCTTCAAGCCATAACTTGCCAGTTTTCTCACGCGGTACACCAGTTATCACTGGTGCCGGTGGAGTGGGGGTTTTTCCATTCTTTTGTAGCCATTTCTGGCAATCGTGTTCATGATTTTCGACCCAATCACGCGGCACGCGATTAATCTCAACTTTCCAGGTTTCACGGCTGAATACTGTGTGTCCGTAATCATTGCCATATTCATCGTACTTCTGACAGAACCAACGATTCCCTTGCTCCTCAGTCATATTGGCTGTCGCCTCGAGAACAAGGTCACAATCTTGATCACGTCCTTTGTGCACTCGAGCATGATTATTAAGGTTAAAGGCGTCATAACGCTTCCAATCTTTATGCTCGGCAAAACGAATGTGCTGGTAGCACATCGTACGATAACGTGCAAATGGATTCGTCTTAAAAGAATCTCGATTCGCCTAGATAGGATTAGTTTAAGAGATAAGCATAACTAGACTCGACTTTAGTTGTAAGACATACCCTGACTAATCGGTCATTATAGAATTCATTTGTTCCACCTCCGGCCCATCTTTCATTCTTGCTTCTGGAATTCCAGGGTAATGAGCCCTCAAGAAACCCCATTTCCTCAAAGAATTTCTCTGTCTCTTTGCCGTCTATACCACAGACATTAGGAACCGCCCAGCTATTTTTTCCGAATAATGATTTACGCCCAGGGCCATGCACAGTATTGTCTTTAATTTCCAGTCTATCATTCTTGCAGACAGGCATAGAAAAACTGCCCATTGAAGACAATGATCCAAGAAACCAAGAATTCCAATCTACTTGTAGATCATTTCCCTGTAGCTCATAGTGATCATATATATCATTTAGGACGTCTAGCCTTGTGAGCTCGAATCGGTCATGCAAGAAACTCTCCAACTTAAGAAGTGCAGGCCACGGTGTCTCATGAGAATTGTCAGCTGAGAATGCCCATCTTCCGACCTGACATATAAGACCAGGATCTGTATCTGGGCGAGGGCAGAAGTATGACAGCGAAGCCTCATCAGTAGCTTTTGCCCGGGCCATCTTGTAGCACTTTTCGGCTGCCCATGATTTATGACTGCATTTCATGTAGCTGCCATCTTTTGCTGAAACCTGAGAAGCAATATTTAGAACAAAGGCTCGCATTACCTGCCTAATTTAATGTGAGATTATGATTAGTCTTTTTGGAGAGGTATCTTACGATTTCATGGAGTTACCATGCCTAAGGCGTGCCAGGTATGATTTTTCTTCGGCCCAATTGTGACGTAGCATTGAAGTTGCAAGCCATGATGGTTGTCCTTCCTCACTTAGGGAGCCATTGTAGATACCTTCATACACTTGACCTAGCGAATCCAAAACCTGTGGGAAGACGGATGCCAGTTGCCCCTGAACTTGATTAATATTGATGGCATTATTATTTGTATCTGAGCCACCAAAACGCGAGCAAGTGCTGCCTCCTCCCAATGAGCCAGACATAAGGCGTAATTTAGCTTGCTCTTTAACCAAAATTTGTAGATTAAAACGCAGCCCAAATCGTAAATTCCTTGGAATTTGGGTTACTGGCTTTACCCATGGCAAGTTTGAATAAGCCTTTTTATATGCATCTTTAATCTTTTTAAGCTCAGGTGTCAATTCTGGTTTCGAATGCGGTGGATAGTTGGATTTGGGTAAATTTTGAGATATCTTTGAGACACGCTCAGGTAAAGAGTCGAGCTCATCAGATGTATCTGGTGTCATCTCACCCCAAGCATTAAACTGATCTTGGTTCCTGAGCCATCTGACTACAGGAGGTGGGATCCATTTGGCTGATAAATTCTAATTAGTTATGCCATTTTTTTAAAAGAGAAGATCTTACTGTTTAATGTCTTTGTATACCATGTAGCTGCTACTTCCGGGTCACGCAGTGCCTTAAGCACACTTAATTTCATTTTATCATAAAAACTTGTTAAGGTGCTCGTCATCATTCCAGTAACGGCAGTCACACCAACATTGACAAGCGTATCAGTTACAGCTCCAATCATTGCACATGCGGCTTGGGCTGATGGGTCTGGTTGACTGGTGAAGACCTGCACAATTTCCGGAAGCATTCCATAGAGGGACATGTGAACCTCGTCCAAGATTGTTTGAATGGCGTTGAGATAGTTTCTAATGATCAAATAGCTTTCACTAGTAAAATAAACTCTTCGGGCAAGCTCTCTATCATTTGGATAGAGATTGAGGATTTCATGCCAAGTAGGCATATCTTTGCAATCAGTCCAAAAGCTGCCACAATCCAAGTTTCTAGTATGAAAGTATTCGATCGAAAATAATCTCCATTCTCCAATTTCGAGCCATCTAGGATCACTTTGACGTGAAAATGTCCAGTTAGCATACCAAATTGCATGTTGAGATTCATAGACGTTTTTTGGAGTGAATGCAAAATAGTCCATGTCATTCTGCTCATGACAATTTCTGAGGATTTCACGAGGCTCGCGTTCACAATTAGACCACTTCAGCGATAAATTTTGCTTTGTATCTGTTTCATCCCGAAGTCTTAAATTAAGATGCGAACTACTCGTTTCATTCAGTATAGGTGATGCCAACATAATTTTGGACATCAGGCAGATAAATAGTATCCAGATGTTAGTAATAGTTGCTGCCATTGTGGATGCTGCTTATAAAATATCTGCAAAATATACCCAAAACTGGAATTTTTGGTTTGATTTTATCCCTTGATGTCGTTACAGCGAAGAGATAAGAAGAATTAGATTGTACCGATAGAATTGTAGTATCGGGTTCGGGTTACGCCTTGGGATGATTCGAGATAGTTTGCGAAATATTGTTTTTTGGGCTCTCGGAGTATATTTTTGATCTGATAGAAAGAGTAACAAGGTATAGAAGAGTAAGTAAATGGAGATGGTGTGAGAATAATTTGAAGGGAAGATACTCGCAAGGCCAGCAGTCTTTTATAAGGACTAAGCGATGAGAATAAAATGGAATCGAATGACTGTGGTGCATTGTAACATGTGATTATAAATAATTCCTGTGAGAACCTCACAATCACATGAGACAGATATGACGCTGAATCGTTATATCCTCAATTTTTAGATAAGCCAAGCACTAGGCCTTGCTGATGCTAGGTTATGAGTGGGATATTATGTTCCTTTCTATCACATTTTGTTATGGGTTTCATGCGAAGGTTCATGTGATGGATGAATGATAGCGTCAGATACTGAGATAGTATTCCTAAATCAGATACGTTCGAAGAGTTACTATCTATTCTATGACCCGCCCTCAAATTAGCCTTGGTCGCATACTTTGCCACAGCCTATTGTGTTCTCGAACTTTAACTTGAATTTAGCTCGATGCCTGTTCTTAATTAAAGTGCGGCACCATACTAGCATGTATATCTAGAGAACGATCAGTACTTGCGACCGAGATTCTAAAAGCATATCCTTGATGACGGCTTAGTCATCTAGCTATTTACAAAAGTTGGTTTAGTAGGGCTATCTGAGCGTAATAATTAGTCAATTTAATAACAGCCCTACAAGGCAAAATTTTCTTAAGCCCGCAATGGGAGGTTTGCCACTTAGTCGAGATTGATAACTAAAATTGAGGTAGTCTATGCTCGCAGTTAATTTCAAGGAGCTAATTAGACGAGAACTCCATAAGCCCCTTCCTCGTGCCTTGAAGATTAAGTAAACATACACATCAATTTCACCTACTTTGGTTCTGACCAGTCCACTTGATCCTGAATTTGTCCTAAAGATGCATGTGCAAACAAAATTTTTAACCGTATGCGAAGTGGCTATAAATTTAATTAGTACATCTATAAATAACATCATGTGATAAATTCTTACGCCTTTACTTCCTGTGATCCTCATGGTTTGCGAAGCTTCGGAGCCAGGTCCAAAATCTGAATTAGAGATAGCATTTAGTTGTAGTTTCTGTGTCTTGGGCACAGCAGCTTGTAACACAAAATTTGATACAGATTCATGCAGGGAAGTGTTTTTGAATTTAGCTAGAATTTGAATTGTACCTTCAGCATTGCGTTGTATTTGAAGAACTATGAGTACATCGTTTTTTTAATAACAAGGATACGTTGGCAAAGTGCTGGATGTCTGGGATATTCCAGGATAAATATTTATAGACGTCGAAGTGGGTGCCGGAGGCATACTGCTTTGTGGGGTAGCAGACCCTCCGAATAAGTCCATTATGGATGAAACATTTGACGCCTGCAGAGTAGGGGCTGAGGCTGGATTATCTGTCGAACTTAAAATATCAGCTAGTAAGTCTGAATTATTTTGTGTTGTTGTGCCTAAGTTTGCAGTTGGAGCGGTTACGTCCCCCATCAGATCAAACAATAGATCTTGTTCGGTAGATTTAAAACTCTTGGATTTTCGATGATTTGACTTGTTCGACTTTTTTGCAGCTTCACCAAAGACCCTAGACTCTTCCTTGATTTGCGGCGGTGGCATTTTTTCTAAAACGCCTCTCCGAATAGTATCATATCCAAATAGATTTCCGTACTCAACGGCCCTCTGTTGCACCTCTACATCCAGACTTGCCGAATGACTGTGTAAAATTCTTCGGAGCCTATCTATTTGAGCTGGTTCTGTAAATCTGGTTGAAAGCTTCATTAATGAGGTCATGATATATTCTGTTGCTACTTGTGTCGCATAACTGCTATTTAGCACGGATGAAAATAAATCGACAATTTGCACCTCTTTGACTTCTTGTACTAGTTCTTCTTCTTCGTACTGCCCTCCTCTTAGTAAGGCATCGCCATATTCTCCGATGCACCAGGCTCCAGCTAGTGTTAATCCTTCCTGTGTAATGTCCTTCTTTAGGCTAGCATATAATTTCTGTACAGCATAAGTTTGAAGCTCAGGGGCTGTAGCTATCAACCGTATAAAAGATGAGAGGATCTGCTCCTTGACGTAGTTGCCCGCCAGTGACAAGACTCGAAGCATCGTGTCAACGTGCCATTGTTTATTCGGGTGCTGGGTCCGCTCCGGAGACTCATCGGATGGCTTTTCCTCCATGATCAAGGGTGGGTGATGAGAAGGGCTCCGATCCCACCATCTGATATGATCGGGGTTAGCTTCATGATAATGATGATAGTGGAATGTGATGAGAGATGAAGACGATACAGACCGCGAAAGCGATTGGGCCTCCTCGTCGAAGTGTGGACGTTGTTACTCAATCTCGGCCCTGTAGACTCTACAGTGAGAGCTGGAGGTTTGTAGGGGACACCACTGACAGGTATTGATAATAGTCCCCCTGCCTATGCGACGGTTGTAGCTTCGCCAGTGACTAAAACAATGGTAGGTATCAGAATCGACGGAGCGGATAAATTGCAGCCTGAAGAGCTACTATCAAAGGCAGATGAACATATCCAAGGCGCATACGCAATTCGACAAATGCACAGTAGCGAAACTGAGACGTTTGTCCAATCGGCGTCCCAGAGAGACGCGGTACTAAACATCCATCAACCCAACGATTATAGAATTTATCGGCAAGACTTTTAAGTCAAGGTATCCGGTATCCCACTGTGGACAAGGATTAAGGACGGTAGAGATGCCAACAACTCCACCATCATCAGGGAGATAGAGACGGCGACTGGGACTCAGATTCCCAGCCTTACAATTAACAGAATTAGATAGCTATCCGACTAAAAAGAACACGAGCGGTCAAGGAAAAATGGCTGCAATCGAGGATCAATCGTGTTCAGCCTCCCGCCAGAGGCATTACAAACGGAAGTAGTCCAAAACGGCCTTTTTTATCATGGCCATGCTCTTCACGGCGCAAGTTTAGTCCTCGCGAGCACAGCAAAAGCAGTGTTTCAACTGCAGCTACTGAGGACATACACAGGCATTTTGTGGAAAGATAGCCAGGTGCGGTGAGTGCGCTGGTGCTCGCCAAACTCGGGACTGTCCGATGAAAAGGGTTTCTTGCGGGAATCGCGGTAGAGAAAACTGTTCGTGGCAAAAAGCAGCGTATCGGGCCTACCAGGCCCATAAGAGAAGCGTAGAGAAGACTCGGATGGAGCTTCTATCAAGAACGGCGGATTTAAGGAATGAAAACCCCACAATGGTGCTAATGCGAACAGTCGGAACGACTGATGATTCGGGATTCACTTTAGTCAACAGTAAGAAGACTAAAAGATCCAGAAGAGGGCCGGGACGACCACGTAAGGTAGTCGAAGCCCCTGTAGCACTACCATCGGGGCCTACTCTTTAGACACTCCCACGAAAAATGCTGAATGAGGAGGTGCCTTTTTTATTCAATTTCTCATAGCACTATTCTGATCGAAGGGGGTGGTAGAGAATTCGGGGGGACGTTTGAAATTTTGTGGTGCAAGGGAACGTCCCAGGCATTATGCCGGGTCGGTTCAGAGTGGCATCAAAGTTGGGTTTGTTCGTTTAAAGTAATTTCCCCAACGAAAGCTGCTTACTGTCTTCGTGGCTCTACAATAAAGATAACGGATAAGATGTTCAACAAGAATAAATTCAATTCAACCAACTACATGAGCCCACAGGGCACCAAATCAGGTAAATTAAAATCAAATATCAGATACTGAAAGTAATTGAATTTAATATAGATGATTGACTAACGCAGACAATGTTAGTTGGTGTAACGGTCAGCACGGCAGATTCTCAGATTTCGCATTCTAGAGATGAACCGGATTGAATAAAGTAACTGATGAGGCCTAAAATCTAACACCCAGGAGGCTTGACGCGGTTGCGAGTACCCGGAGGGACCCTCAAAGACCACCGATGCTAGAATCGTGTGGCCAGAACATAATATTAATCAGTTATGGCAAAAAGTTCAAGAAAAGCTTTTGCTGCCCTGACCTAACGCCTAGCCAGCTATCTCATAGCAGTTTACTGTACTATATGTGCTCCAGAAAACCTCAGTCATTCAAGTCCTACTTTGCACCCCGTAGCATCCTGTTACGGTAAGGAATCTATAAAAAGCTGTCCATCCCTTTTCTCCCAACATTGTCCATATATTTAGTGCTATTTCCTTTGTTATTTTCCGCCATTCATTTAGCGCTGTCCGTCATTGAGAGAAATGCCACGGTTCCGAATTCCAGAGATGCTGGTTTTGTTCCTGCTTGTCGGAATTTTAGCTTTGTAGTTCTATTTATTGGGTTAGGCTACTGGCGTTCACGTCTGGGATGATTGCCACATACCGTGTTGCCACGGTGTCAAGTTTGCAGTGGGGCTTTGGCAGTTTTTTAGCGTGTAAACTAAGACGCCTTAGGCATAGCCACCTTCCATATTGGAGTTAGCCCCCGTACTTGTGCAAATTTTTGAAAAGTTTTGCATGGCAGTTTTTATCTGAGCACCATAGTTTGCGGTAGGTCTTTCCTTCGTACTAAGCCTAATTGGTATAATGATCGGCTGCATAATATTTGTGCATTATTGCTACTTGACTTTAACTTATCTTCAAGATATCAAGGTCCTCGAATCACGAAATTGAGCCACAGTCTTACCCTAACCTTGGATCTGAACTTTTGGCTGGAATATTTTCAGGCCTTAACATCCAGTTGCTCCCCCATCCGCATCTATCACAGCCTGACATCTTTCTGGCATACTCTGAGTGTGTCTCACAAGACCTTCGGAAGACACGGAATCCAATGCCTTCTTCACAATCTTGCGAAGACTAACTTGAGTTCGTAGTTTTCCGCAACCCAGATTCGGATGATGACGCTGGATGTAATCCTTCATCCTCTTCTTATAGAGGAATGTACGAACACTTCTTGTCACCCGTTCTCTAGAATGTCTTCCATCCTCTACCCAAGTTTCGTCTATCCATAAAACTGACGTCCAGTTTTCAAATTTCCAATTGAGATGAGCTTTGGCCTATTCCCTGCGTGTCTTCATAGTTTTCTGAGATACTGGAGGCTTTAGACGAGCCACATGTCGCTGATATCTTCTTTTTTTAAGTTCTCTTTGTATTACCCGCTAGTTGACATCTAGATGTCTAAAGGGGCCAGAGGCGAGTTCCAGAAATGTTTTGGACTCAAGATAATTGTTTGATTCGAGGTGTTGAAGGTGGGGTTTAAGGTGGATTGATCTGTAAAATAAGGTTAGTATCGAGTAAAGCCATGTGTCTTCTGAATAAATAACTTTGTATTTGAGAAATCTAATTCTTATTGTCACTCATGCACAAGATGAGAAGAGCTGTGTAACTTTTAGCGGTCGGCAGTCATAAAAGTGATGGCAAAGAACTAGAGAGCGGGTTGGATTTGAATAAAACTGAGGGTGACATGAAATCAAATTGTGCCCTCGGTTTAGGCCTGGAAATACAGGACAAGAATTATGTACCCTGTCGAAATGGGCGTTGACAGGGGTACAACTCCTGAAGCGAATATACGCCCCATTTAAATCCATTGAAAACTTGAAATCGTGGCACCACAGAAATTTTAGTTGTTTGATTAGAAAGAGAAGGGAGGGATGTACCGATTTACTATACACACCAACAGGCAAGTCCACTATTGTAGTAGAGAAGTGATCGCTCATGTATATGCCCACACAGCTTAAGCTAACACCCTTTGAAAACTGATCACAGCGCACGCTTTCCTGATTCAAGAACTGTTCTAGTTTTCCTTTTTGTATCAGATTTTAATTACTTATGCAGCTTTTTAGCTATCTAGCTATCGCACAATATCATAAAAAATGAATAAAACAGGTGACTTAATTTAATAGAAAAGCAATCCTGCCTCAGATTTAGCCGGCAAAGTCGAATTCTTCACCTTCCAGTGGTGCCGGTGTAATCGTTCAGTATGTTCTGCATGTCTGAGATAGCCAAGAAGAATCGCATCCTTCGCAACGGCAGCTTGCTGAGCGTGGCCCAGTCGATTTCGATTGACACCTGGGCTAGGTTCCGTTCCCAGCACGATAGATCGAAAGTTTAAGTTTGGGTCTCTTCTATTCAGTCTTCTAACAACTTCACGATTGAGTTTGACTTGGAGGACTTTACGACTCACCAACAACCCTCCAAAATCAAAGGTAAAGTTCTTTTCGCTTTCAACCTTACTAACATTGTGTGCAGGACTGGGCAATTGCTCGGCCTCATTTTAGACAAGCACCTCGACCGCAACATCAACATTCTCAACTTTTCGACATATTCCAAAGACGGCGCGAACGAAGAAGCCTCACTTAGACAACAAACAATGTACGACAAAAGCTGGGGCACCGATGCCTCGGTTTTGAGCTCTCGGTTTCGGGATTTCAGCCCTCTCAAATGGAGGTTGACCGCAATGCAGGGGAGAATTTGGGAAGAACGATATGTGATTTTCAACAGGCTGTTGGCACAGTTGGATGGGTGCTGGATGTGCTTTCTAGAAGTGGTAGGTTGGACTCCTATACGGCCTGTTTAAGGGGGGACTACGGCAGCTCGTCGTGAAAGAGTACAGGAGGAATTGTCGAGGTTTTCCCACGAAGGTTTTCCCTCAATACATGGCCTTAGGATCATGGTGAATGCGTTCCTACCTATTCGACCCGATGTAACTAGCGTGAGGCTCTTCTTTGGAAAAGTCAGGCACCGGATGGGCTTTGCTGGAGAATGGAGGTACTTGTATTCTAGATGTCCTCCATGCATGTCATGTCCATTGGATGGAGGGTGTAAGCCTGGCACGATATATAAAATCATAAAAATAATAAAAATCATCATGCCTCAGATTTCATTTGCGAGTATCGCTGCAACGTTACAGCGGCTTTTTCTTCACTCCAAGTCAACCCTCATCTGTGAATACCCACCCAGGGGAACGCCTCAAAGCCCCTGAGTTATTCATCCATGCCCTCATCATCCATCGACTATTCTCTGCGCGAAATGTGGTTCGAGGCATCTCCTTCCTAAGTGGAGTAGGCGCCCATACTACTCAAACTTTACTAGATAATACTACCAGTAGGCGGGCCACAACGCCTTCTAACATAGATTTGTGTTTACAGTGTCAGCTGTATTCTCGCAATCGAAGTATTAGCGTCCACATTACTGTTCAATATGTAATTCTTCTCACCAAGATTCGAAATCTCATGCCCGTCGAGATTGTATCCGTCCTCTACATCATCTTTTAAACTTGTCCTGATCTCTATCACGTCAATTTCAAGGAACTTCCTCCAAATTTTGTATAATCATTGGCGTATATTTTGTGACCGGCTGAGGCCTGAGAATGGTCGGCGAGAGGTGTACTCATTGAAATTAGTAGGTACTTGGTCGTACTTGTAGACTTGAAGAGGCTTTGGTAGGAATCGATCTCGTTGGGAGTGAACGATTGATACGGAGGGGTGATTTGAATCGTTGCCTCATAAGCCAACTTCTTCGGTATTGCGAAAATCGGCTGAATCTGGCTTTGATGGAAAGTCTCACTTCCAGTTTCGTGGAGGGCACCACTGACAGGCGTTCAACCTTTCTCCTCCTATCTTCTTCTTACGAAACTTTCTCAACCGCATCGATAAATTACTACCTTACCATTTTTCACAGAGATTCAGAATAGCATTTTCTAGCTTTGCTCAGTTGTTCAGATGACAGCCTCATTTCGTGACACCTTCTGCAGTCAAATCTTAGAATAGGCTAACATTACTATTTTTAGAGCTGGAGATCTCTCAGAAGGATATGCGTGTCTTATTTTTTATCACTTCAAGTAGGTTTCTATCATGGGTAGTATTTTTTTGCTCTAACACTGTACTACAAGTTGAACAGTACACTTATGTTTTATCTTTTCAGCACTTTTTCAAGTTCTCGGAGAGTTATCTATCCTTTGAATAGTTGATCAGCTAGCCCAGCCCCAGATTTGTTTAGTAGTCATACGTAAGAGCGGGTTTCGCTATCGCACTGCACTGTAATTTGGCTTTATGAATCGCTGCTCCCCACGTTCATTCGGTCAACCTACGTCTACGCCTTTGGCAAAATATATTTCAGAGGAGCTGCTAAGATGAATTTAGAATTATAATAGATACCGTAAACTTGTAGATATTACCATTGTAACGTTATATGACCTTGAATCTGGATAGTTGCTTTCGTATTAAACTTTTACCCACATCGTAAGATATACATCGGCTGTTGAATTTTCAGCCTGAATTTGATAGACTGATTTTCGACTGAAGGCTTGCAAGTCTCAGACTAATACTGCAGCTGCAGCCTTCAAAATTTTTCTTTTGTTGAGTTTTATTATATTTGAATATTTGTATATACTGAACACTTATTGCTATGGTAGAGCATATTTTTAGCATTTTGCAATTATAAGATGTAATGATAAGGAATTATCTATATTGTAGAAATGTGCTCCTATGACAAAGCTAGAGTTAAATGATTCAGGATGCCATTTCTAATTATGTGAGCATCGATCTCTTGAGAGTATGTAAAATCCACTTAGAGAGGGGCGAAGGACAAAGGTTGAACAGCTGCCAATGGTGCCTTCCACAAAGCTGTATATGACATATTCTACTAGAGCCATCTTCAGCCAGTTTTCGCAATACTAGAGAAGTTGGCCCACGAGACAATGATGTAAGACTCCGACAAATCAATCTTTCCCTCCCAACGAGCTCGATTCCTACCACAGCCTCATTAAGCTTACAACTACGACCTATTACATCTACAATTCAGTAATCTCTTCCCATTTTTACTTAGTTAGTTGATTCCTTATACACGCCTTCAAGAAACGAATACCCGCAGGAGGGCAAGACTTGCGATGCATAAATCTGGTAGTCAGATCTTTCAGACTAACGCAAGAGATATCTAGGCAAGCTGACAAGATGATACTCAGGACGGGGACAATCTTTGAAGGAGCAATACTTCGGACTTTGAGAATGGGATTATCACATTGAAGAGCATTGTGCGATACACGACTTGGTTTGCGAGAGTGCCGATAACACTTTAAGTAAAATCATGGCTACATGTAGTATCACCTAGGTCAGTCTTCCAAGAAGTGTCTAGAGAGCTTGGATGCCCATCTCACATGAAGTAGGAGATGACTGGTTCGAATACTGCAATACTACACAACATTTCTCGCGATATTCGTAAGCCTGGATGACTAAAGGTATTCCAACTTCCTTTTTGAGGGTACTTACGGATCAGGGCCTACTATTCTGTATAGACAAACATAACTCGTAGTGGTACATGCGAATGAAATTAAGGGTGCTAGAATCTCTGAAGTGAAAAGAGCCATATCACATTTACGTGAAACGGTGATCTTGAATCATATCTAGATTTCTACATTCACTTGTATGAAACAGTAAAAAATAGCACAGCGATGTGAACCCTTGGAAAATTTGCGAAAAAAGCTAATGTCACACAGAGACAATCAAAAATGTGGGCTTGAGCGCGTGGCGGGCATTGCCGCGGAAGGTTTCGGGGTGGCAACGATGTAGATGAGCCCGATATTGAAGAGGAAGGGGTTATGGCACGATGCCATGTGACCCTTCGAAATTCGACTGACGGTTGACGGCACCGTGCATGAAGCTACGCGCCACCTTCCTCTACTCTAACGCCCTACCATACACCGCTCACCAACAGGAAGCCTTTCTCGATACTTGGCTCGGGCTGTGTACCTTTGCCATGAACCTGAACAGATTTCAGGTATTTGATGCGGAGCAAACCAAAATATGCAAAAATCGCGATCATCAAACAACGAATTTATGCTCATGTAGGACTTGGACCCAGCCCGACAAGGCTATATCGAATTAGCATCAAAGACCATTATATCTTAAAAATTTAAATCTCGCGATAATGGGAAAAGTCATACTTTTAAACCAGACCTACCCTCAATCAGCGTCAATCATGGAACCTGACATAAAGAGTAATAATCCGTCAAGTCAAAAAATAAACTCTTATTACAGCTTGGATTATTTACCAAATTATGTTCACATGACAGGAAGAATCCTAACATAGAGATGGTTTAACATCAAAGGTCGTAAGGAATATACTTTAAGTCAATATACGTGACACAGGAACTATATGAAGGGTGTTTGGTGATTCAGATGTATGTGGATTGGGAACCTTGAAAATTTTGTTACTGCCTTGTAGAGGAGCCTATATGACTAGCTATAATTGGACTTTTTGGGTCTCCTACACTACCACTCCTACTTCCTGGCCCACTACTATTCTCCACATTATCGTCCCAACCCAAAAGCCTCTTTCCTACCGTACTAAGTATCGGTCCTTCATCACTAGACTGTGTAAATTTGGAAAGGCTTGAAAGCATACTCGAGCTACGCAACCGAGTTCGATTTCCTGTCTTGATGGAAGACACTACAGTACTCAGCATTGGCGAGTAGCTATTAGCAGCTGGGAAAACGTTGTTAGGAGTTGTCGATGAATTCCAAGGGTAGTTGCTGGCAGTTGTGCCCGAATTCTCAGATATCAAATCACCATATGTATGAAGGTTTTGTGAACTTGAAATAGGGCTGAAATTTTGGAAAATCTCTTGTTGGGCATGTAATAGTGTCTCAATTGCAATACATACGGCATGGAGGGCCGCTTGTCCTTCAAATATCTGAGAGGCAAGAGAATGAAGTCGTTCAGTGTAAAAGGCCTGAATATTCGCGCGTTCCTTCCGTTTAACGTCTCTTCCAGACTCCCAACGCTGCGCTTCATCAATTCCCTTAGCGTTAGCATCAGTAATACTTTCGTGTTTACTATTGAGAATGTTTAAGCGCTGCTTCCTGCTATCAGATTTCTGTAGCAGACTGGATGAATCCATCCGAAGTGCCTGAATATCACGCTCCGCATTATACTTGCTGGAGCTAATCTCAGAACGCATGAGCTTGTGCTTCTCTCGTTGTGATTGAATTTCACTTCTACATTTCGAATATACAGATGTCTCGTCAGTTTGGCTTTTTTCAATTGTCTCAATTTGGGTACTGAGAATTGCGGCCGCCTCATCTGCTTGTTTCATATGAAGAGTACTTTGTTGAGCTTTTTGTTTAAGTTTGTCGTCGTTGCCACCAGTCGAGGAAATATTTACGACCAAACGCTCAAGTTCCTTGCGCAAAGAGTTCAGCTTGGCGCGAACTTCTCGGCGTGAGCTTTTCTGACGCTGACGGTCTTCTTCCAACTTTTTGACAGCCTGAGCAATTGAAGTCTTGAGCGTAGAGTAGGGTGAGCTAGGCCGTCCACCTGTTTTGGTATTGGAAAGTCCGAGATCAGCTGTTGGCGATTGAAGAGTCCGAACGCTGGCAGAAAACAAAACAGTCATGTCTACAGTACTTATGAAATCACACTGATAATTAGAGGTGGGGGCCAGTCCAATTATTTCTCCTGCCCACTTTGTAATGGGATGATCTGGAGAGTCAGAATCAGTTACTGCATATATTCTAGCGGACTGCCAAACTGTGTTGTTGATCTTGACAAAGAACGGCTTAGATGTGTCTATATTCGTTTGTCCCATAGAACGTTCAACTCCTGTTGTGGTGTGCGTTGGGAAATAACTGGTACTAAAATATACTTCATCTGATCCAACATAGGTTAGCCAAATTTTGTCGGCCTCAGTATCAAAAGGTGCGTTTCCGAGATTGTTCATATCGGTAGCATTTGTACCCGCGGATTCGGCAGCAGTATGCGAGGTTTCATACTCCTTGACCATAACAATCTTTGTGCTTGCTAAAGCTGCCCACAGTGGCTGCTGAATCCTAACTTGCGCACAGCTTCTTTTCTTTTTTTTAATTGTGGTAGACGCTGTGCTGGTCGATGATGAGGCCGAGCATTCACTTTCCGGCATCTGTGATATTGATACGTCACTGTTCATATCGACTGTATATTGTCCTGCTTCTGGATCCCCGAAGGTTACAGAGATATCTCGATTTTCTCTTCGTACATACCAATCCCGAATGTAACGAACAACGCCTTGTGTCACGATGTGTATTGCGAGGACACTTCTGATCAGGTCTAGATTTCTTCCACCTTTATGCATGATAGGGTCGAGAGGGTCATCCGGATCTGAAGAAGATCCTGGGTCGGAAGAGAAAAACGAGCGTAAACTCGAGTTCCGAACTTGACCAGTCCGAAAAAAATGCGAGGCGCCCGTGATTCCTAAGCACCATAAGACGTTCCGTATTCCAGCCTCTTTACCACTTGTTCCTCCGCCAAGAGTGATTGCGATAACAGTTTGCGCCAAATCGAGTGCGATATTCTGCATCGGGCTCCAGAGAAATAACCACACTAAGAGTACGGCGAAGTCTAGGAAAACTATGGTAGTGAGCGATGGGGTACCTAGATTTCCTTGCAGAACGTCTGTGTAAGTTAGGCCCGACGTTGCAACTGATGACGAAGGAACAAAAGTTAGAGTTGCAAAGAGGAGGTGTATCATGGAGAGGAAGGTTGGTGGAATTTGAAGAAGAACAATGAGGATAGCAAGTGTATCGCTGAGTGGACAGGATCGTAGTACTGTGAAAGCAAGGTTAAGCGGGCCCAAGTCTCGATGTACGGCCGGATTTTTAGCAGCGTTTACATCAATATGACGATGAGTCTCGAGAGCGCTAGACTCGGGAATGCTCTGAGGATACGGATCAGACGAGCACTTGGAATACATGGGCAAGCTTTTGCTTAGGTTTTCGGCTTCCATCTTGATATTAATCGCGTTGTCGCTAGAGACTGCGTAGTGCCCATTTCTGGTAGGGGATGAAGACGTTGTGAGGGAGTCTGGCGCCTTTGCATGACCGTTAACGTAAATGCTGCTCCTATGTTTCCACGCCTTCTTGCTCGAGCCTACAGGAATATTTTCATGTCTGGTATCACCCGTAATGACGGCACCAAGCAGTCTCTTGTTAATGGTTGACCCGCGCGGCATGCGCCTGTCGGGGATCTCTCAAGCCCCTTTGAGCACTCAGAGGCGCTCTGAATTATTGGTCCGGCTTGACAATTGAAGATGCGCGTTCCTATGAAATGTTAGAATAGGGTGATGAGATTTGATGGGGCCTAATTCTGCCTACAAAAGTTTGGTAACATTAGATTTATTGGTTGTGAGAGGTGGCGAGCTGAAATTTGCGCTTGTTTGATTGTGGCGTTTGTGGCGGTCTGCGATACCTCGGTACGTGCGTGCTAGACGGATCTGATTTGATAAAATATTGTCCTTTGTTGGTCTAAGACTATATAGGACATGTAGGTCCTCTCTGCCTCCAGGCCAAGGAGCCTATGCCTCAGGTATTTTATCTACTCCTTGGCTTCCTATGCAGCTCCCAGGCAGTATTAATACCCCTCACTATTTTCATTCGATCATACACTTGGAGGAGCTCATTGTCCTTAATTATTTCCCCTCTCCAGCCAACTAAACGAAGGTCACTTGCGGATGTATGGCAGCCGGAAAAAATCGCAAACTACTGAGTGCGGGGCTCCCCTGGTACCGACATCAGGGCTTAATTTTGAAGACATGGCTACACTTTTGAAGCGTTCCGAGAGGCCGGCCAGCCAGACGCTGCAGATTTGTGTAAACCCAGCAATGGCACTCCCTGTCTTTCTAACCTCCATTGAATTCTTGCCCTCACTCGCTCCGCAAGGTAGACAAAGGTTCCTCTAACAACATCATTCTAGCCTAATTAGATCTTGCCCACATTCTCGTGCGACCTCGTGTTGCGGAGGAGGCCAAAGACTTCTGTACAAAAGAAGCCCTCCCGGCCGGTGTGATTTAGGTCTGGCTCTGTAGATTTTAGGGTGAGGGCCGGAGGTCCGTACCGGGCACCGCTGACAGGTGTTGAGTCATCCTGCCCCTGCTAGACAGTTGTTAGGCTGCCAGAGTCAACTTTTGGGGACAGGGGTCATGGCTCAGCCGGTGGCCACAAGATAGAATTAATTATCAAGAACCGATCTCTTCGGCAAGTTCACATGAGGTTGGGCACAATACAAATAATATTCCGCCTTGCAACACGCCAACAAACATCTTGGCTACTTTAGAAAGCCTCATATCTCAATCTCACATTTGTCTCGTTTGAAACGCGGCCACATCTATATCAAATTGAGATCACTTGCGCAGAGACAAAAATTTACGATGATATTCGAAATAGCTAAGTGGTTCATAGACTATGTCTCGAAACGTGGAGGCCCCTCTTCCAGTTGGTAATTTATGGTGATCATCCATTATATATGAGTGATATAGGGAGAATGAGGACAAGGGTGTTTCCTTGATCGACAAGATAAAACTAGGGCTCATGCACTACCTCCTGATCGTTTGGGCGCTTTTCCTCACAGTCAGGTCTTCTAGGACACCTTGTGAACCGCGTGAGTATCAAAGACATACCTCTTGTTTCTAGTCAACAACATAAATTAGAGATCCGGAATTGAAGGCCGTCTAGAACTTGTCGTCTGCGAGCTTTCCATCGCCGTAACCTAGGGATCTATGATGCCTTTCCAGACAAATTACCTGTTCTGCTGATGGGCTCGATAACATTTCCCTATAGTATCGATGAAAGTTGACCATTTGTGGAGGTCATGATTCGGATATGTTAATCCCTGGAACTAGGATAGAGACCAGCAAGCATTCATCCGTGCCCGACAGCCGAATGCACCAGCATCTGCAGTGACGCGAGGTGGGCCTAGTTTCTCCCACGAAAAAAATAATTTTAGATCATATTCTTAACGTATGATTTCCCGAGTCGTGTTGGGAGAATGGGTAATCCCGATTGTAGTCGTCGACGGCTGGAAAGTGGTGTTGGCTGGCAATAGCGAATTTTAATTTCAGATACCCACACAAACTGGATTTACTTCGGCCGAGCTCCAACACCCTAGTTGATTACCGCTAGTTCGAGGAGAGTATCAAGAAGCTGATGCGCTCAAACATTACTGTTGTCACCCAAGCTATGCACTTTGTACATGGCAGAGCAAGGAGACCACCCGTTGACAGCCGATGGGCTACCATGTCACGAGGTTTGCATGTAGAGTCTCTTATGGATGGCAAAAGTAAAATTGTCAAAATGACTGGGGTTAAATCCCTGTGCCTAATGATTAGATTGGTTTAGTATTCATGCAGGCCCAAGTCTAGTTCGTCGACTAGTTATGCAAGTCAGGAGTACTATCCAATGACATTCCGTGAAAGTCTGAATTTTGGGGATGGTTTTCAACTCAATAGGAAAAGTACAATGGTCCTCATTTGAAATTCAAAATTAAAAAAATCAATTGATATTCTCTAAAAATGCACATCTATTTCAAAAATTATTGCTCTATATTACAAAAGTCTACATCGAAGCTCTCAGTATGGCTCGCAACTAAAATGAAAGCGTGCTACATGTTTTGTATTAGCCTTCTCCATCCTAATACTTTGTGTACCCTCCATTTGCCTTTAACACTGCTACACATCTTTCGTGCATGCTGCCAATTAGTGACAATAGCTCCTCATAAGGTATAGAGTCCCATGCATCCTGTAGCAATGTCTTCAACGTGGTAGAGCGCACAAGCCTGACCCCATTTTTCTCAGGACTATTTACCTGAATGTGATTTTTTTAATATATTCCACAATGACTCGACCAGGTTCAGGTCCGGACAGTAAGGTGGCCATCTAATAGGCGTTATTCCAACTTCACGCAGCGCCTCAATTGTTGAGTACGCTTTATGACTTGGTGCGTTGTCGTGCATGTATAGAATTTCTGGATTTTCCGAGTGAGATTGATTCAAAAGAGGCAAAATCCTTTCACAAAAGGATGAGGCCCTCATTGATTCCCAATCCTTCTCCCAGACTAGGAATGGGCCTTTATGTGATCCATAAAATGATCCCCAAAACATCCAGCTGTTCCTATGAGTATGGCGAGCCACAATACAATTCTCATCAAACTCATCATCAGGCCAAACTCTGCTGTTAGTACAAGATTTTGATAGAATCTTAATGTATTTTTCTTGTGACACGAGGTTTCATATGAGAATCACCTGATACCCATGTTTCATCAGTCCATAATATGCGACTCCATTGTTCATCGCTCCAATCTAAATGTATTTGGGCGAACTCCAATCTTTTCTGATTGTTCACCGCGCTTAACGGAGGCTTCTTCCGAGCAATGCATCTGCTGTAAGCTCTTTTTTTCAGTGCGTTAGAAATTAAACGTTCACTGCATCCCCAGTGGCTGAAGGGCCCCATGGCTAGTTTCAAATAGCACATCTGTCGATTTTCAGGAGATTTCCGGACAAAAGCCTCGAGCTCATAGACTTGTTCCGCGCTTAATTTTGGTAAGGGTCCTTTGCGAGACAGAGGATCCTCAGTCTCTCGAGCACAAGCAAGTTGCACTTGCCATATAGTAATGTCAAGTTCGTCGTATATATGTTGTAATGTCAAGCCAAGTCTTCTTAATGCTCTTATTTCAATACATTGATCGCGAGTTAGATGCTTGCGGGCTTTAGTTTCTGAAGCGGACTTTTGGAGAGACATTGTTTGCTAGAAGTGAGGATGAATTGAGTGTGATGTTAAGATTCGAGGACAGTGTAGGTCAGGCAGCCAAAAGTGTCGTTGAAAGTGTGTTTCTCTAAGCGATTGTTAGAAGAAGACGATTGGACCATACTTCATGGCGAGCAGGGTAAGGTGGAGAGACTGTCTAACCTATTACGAGCTAGCCCAACTGCGCCTACAGGGCTAATCCCCTCAACAACCCAGTTTGAAGTTTTACCTTTTCCAACACAGAGGTACTGTAAGTATAGCCATGTTTGATTGTTACTCCATGAGATGAGTACAAAGGCCGGACCTACTTATGTCTTACACATGTATCACAAAAAATGCACCATTCCCAGGTTAAGATTTACGCTTATCAAGAAAAATTACATGTTGTCCTGAAAAGCGTATTCTTCATAATTTTTTATTACAGCATTGACGCGAAAGTAAGCATCAATACAGAGGATCAAGAGTAAGGATTGGTGATCCTGACTCTCGAAAGTTTAGCAGATTTGACGTCGGCATAATTCATATCTCGGACCCGCCGTTATTTCTAACACATGAGCATAGATAGTTTGGAAATTAGAGAAAGTCTTGGATTAAGAGCTTCTTTAAGCCTTCTTCTGCATTAAATCTTGAGTGCGTAGCAAAGAAATGAACGTCTGTATTATCCTTCTGTGTGGGTAAAAATTTTTCCAGATGTAATTCTAGAGAGAATGAACTAATATACGCTAATATTGAAGACAGTTATGGTTCGTGCTTTGGCATTATCCATGCCATTCGTAGCTATGACTATCTAGCACAACGGACTCCTCCCTGACCCAGGCCATACCCTGTACAATGCTCACATATCTTTTTGTTGCGAACAGAGCTCTGACACAAAGTTCATTACAGGCGATATTTGCCAAGTTCATAATTAGTAAAATTCGGCCTCTTCTCCAACGGACCCTTCTATCAAAACAAAAATTTGGCAGTGGAAACTACTTCCGCGCGAATAAATATGAAGTTATCCTGTAACCTTAGCCAGGCGAGACCTAGGAACCGGTGCCACATAAAGTGCATATATCCATTTAAATCTTTCACTCCAAAAACAAAAGAGGCCAAATTGATCTAATTAACCACCGCTGTCTCTGGAATTCATCAAATGGTATCTTCTCTATGAACAGAAGAAAAAAAAAAGAAAGAGTTGATGATAAGGGCTTCGATCCTACCATCTGATTTGATGGTGGTCAGCTTTATGATGATGCTACTAGAGGAATGAGCTGGAAGGTATGGAAGATATAGACCGCGAAACCGATAAGGAAAATCTCATTGAGGTGAGAATATGGAATGCGATTGTTCTTGGTCATCTCAGGTATGTAAAGCATACTGAGCGTTTACACTGGTACCCTAAGTAGGCTAGCAAATTGCTTATGCTAGCTACCAATGAAAAGTAATCTTGTGTA